TTAGGGTTTACAGCATGCTTCTGTCTCCACGATGTTGTCGCCCTGTTGATGACGTCAGCTACGCGGTTTCGTCGAGCGCGGTTTAGTCATGCAATCCCCTTTTGCCACCTTCTGACATCAAGCTGGATTTGCTGAACAATGGTGTTACTCGTTAAAGGACTGCAGGGATTCGCTTAACAACGACAGCAAGGAAGGTCATGAAAGCCACTTAACAAAGGTCTCGCTTTGCAAGGGGTTCCATTGTAGTCGTAAGTTGAGGACTAGCTCTGTAGAGGTAATACCCATCCATCTATCCATTTGTTTCACAACCTTGGCAATCTTTGGTGGACTTCAACACCTAGAATTATCTAGCCAGCATGCTTTTCAGATGGGTGGACTTCAACTCCCAGAATTCATCAGCCAGGAAGCTTCCTTGACTTCAACTCCCCAGAATCCCACAAGCTTTAAGATGGGGTGGACTTTAACTCCCACAATCCCCCAGCCCGTCTTAAAGCTGCAAGGTCACAAACCACCGTTCTGGAACCAGCAATAAACAAAACAAAATAAAATACCTGAACCGCCACCATTTTTTAGAACTTCTTCCTAACAACCCTGCGAGGTAGGATGGTCAAAGAGGAAGCAGAATAGGCCAATGGAGGGCTTCCTTGGGGGCCCAGGAGAAGCCCTAAAATCACCCATGGAGGCCAGATGCAACTGCTGCTTACACACACACACACACACACACACACAAACACACCAAGTCATTTTTGTGTGTGTGTGTTTCTCGGACTTTCTACAGGGTGAAAAATGTTCTGCTCAAATCCAACGGCGTCCTGGAGGCCTTCGGCAACGCCAAAACCAACCGCAACGACAATTCCAGCCGGTTTGGCAAATACATGGACATCAATTTCGACTTCAAGGGAGATCCTACTGGAGGACACATCAGCAACTACCTGTTGGAAAAGGTACAGTGTCTGTGTGTGTGTGTGTATCGAACAAGGAGCTTTCGAGTGAGAATCAATCCACGGGGGTCACCCAAAAATCCACATTGATGGAGGAGAAATGGGGCATCTCGGAAATAAGCGACTCCCGATGCTTTAAGAGGGGAGGACTTCAACTCCCAGAATTCCACAGGTGGCATCGTTTGAGAGGGGTGGACCGCGATTCCCATATTAGATCCTCAGAAGATGGGATCCGCCCACTTTGGTGTCTGTANACCTTCTTCTCCAGAGGAATCCATCCATCCTATAGATCCATTCTCTGGAGGATATTAAATGTCATTCTCTGGTGGTCTCCTAATGAAGTTCTCCAAGTTCTGCAGGGTTTAGGGTTTAGGTTCTCTATTGAGAACTTTGAAGCCCTCTTCTCCAGGAGAATCCACCCATCCTATAAGATCCACCCATAGAGAAGCAACAGTCAAGGAAGTGGACCTATAACCAAGCAGTTAGCTCTGAAAACCACAAGCTCCACCTTCTCCCTCAGACGGAAATCACCCTACTTGACTCACCCTTCTTTCCACTGAGGTACGAGGACGATTGTCTCTCCCGGCAAACAGACTAACTTCTCCGGGAACATGGCAGAGCAAGAGAGCCTAGAGTTTGGGAAAGCCGATTTTGTCCTCTTGGACCAGGTGACCATGGAGGACTTCCTGGAGAACCTGAAGCTCAGGTAAGGTTTGGAAGGGGGAAAGGAAGCGAACGGTGGGTCTTGTTTCTGAGAAGAAGTCAATGGGCGACTTCAAAATCATCTTGAGAGAACAGCCAAGTAGAGATTTCTGGAAACGTTCACAGCTTTGATGGAGATCTTTGTCATTGGTGGCTCCCCAACGGAGGTCCATCATCTTGTTCTTCAGAACCTGCAGCCCGGCCGAGTCTTTTGGGCAAAGAGTTGCAGCTCACATTAGTGGGAAAGTCCAGCCTTCCGTCAAACTGAAACTTCTGGGGTTCAATAGTGAAACCAGTTTGGCCTGGCGGTTAACTCTAGAAACTAGGCGGTGGTGAGTTCTAGTCCCACCTTAGGCATGAAAACCATCTGGGTGACTCTTGGGGCCAATCACCAGGTGACGGTAAGTTCCAGTCCCGCCTTAAGCGAGAAATCATACTGGGTGACTTTGGGCCAATCAAAAGGGGACTGGGAGTTATAGTCTCGCCTTTGGCATGAAAACCAGTTGGGTGACTTGGGTCCAGTCACTGGGAGATTGTGAGTTCTAGTCCCGCCTTAGGTAAGAAATCATACTGGGTGACTTTGGGCCAATCAACAAAAGACTGGGAGTTCTAGTCTCGGCTTTGGCATGAAAGCCAGTTGGGTGCCTTTGGGCCAGTCACTGGGAGATTGTGAGTTCTAGTCTCTCTCAGCCCAATCCACCTTACAAGGTTGTCGTTGTGTGGAAGAGAGGAGGAGGAAGGACCATAACTGTATGATATCTATGCCTACCTGCATTCGTTCTCAAAATTCAAGATTTTCAGAATTGTCGGTAGCCACTTGCTAAAGTTGCTAAAGCTGGTTATTAAGTGAATCACAAGGTCATTAAATAAATCCAGTTTCCCCCCTTGGTTGTCAGGAGTTTGTCTGGAAAGGTCATGAATGGTGGTCATATGATCTGAGGAGGCTCATAAATACGTACCAGCTACCAGGCAGCCAAATTTTGATTATAGGGATGCCACATAGGTTGTATTTCCCTGGCTGGTATGCTTTAAGAGGGGAGGACTCCAACTCCCAGAATCCCTCAGTCAGCTATGCTTTAAGAGGGGAGGACTTCAATTTCCAGAATCCCCCAGTCAGCTATGCTTTAAGAGGGGAGGACTCCAACTCCCAGAATCCCCCCAGTCAGCTATGCTTTAAGAGGGGAGGACTTCCACTCCCAGAATCCCCCAGTCAGCTATGCTTNAGGAATTGGGTGACTTTGGGCCAATCACCAGGAGATGGTGAGTTCTAGTGCGACTTTGCGGCATCTTGAAGAGGACATTTTTTTGGGGGGGTGGGGGAACCTTAAACTTGATTCATCCCCGGCACAACGACCGTGCGGTCTTCTCCCCATGTTCGTCCGCAGGCTATTTACGAGAGGCTGTTTTGTTGGATCGTGACCCGTATCAACGCGATCATCGAGGTCAAGGACTACGACCCTCGTATCCACGGGAAAAATACGGTCATCGGAGTCTTGGACATTTATGGCTTTGAGATCTTCGATAACAACAGGTAGAAAACACCAAGAGAATCCTTGGATCGTACCAGCAGTCCTCATTTAACGACCAAAAACTGGGCTTCGGGTTTTGGTCGCAAGTTGTTGCAGTTGTTTAAATGGGACGTCGCTGGCCAGGGCCTCAATTTTATGACTGTGTTGTGATGAGCCTAAAGGGAGCCACCAGGGCCATTCCATGAATTACACGGTTGTTAAAGGAAGCACATGGTTGTTAAGTGAATCTATTATCTCAAATTGAGTTTTTTTTTTGCTGGAAAGCGGCAAAAGCTAACAAAAACAAGGTTGCAAATCACTGTCATGTGACCACGGGAGCCTGAAACCGGTCGTAAAGACGAGCCAGTTGCAAATCATATAATATGTAAGTCCACGATGTCCTCAACTCACAGAAGTTCATTTAGCGACCGTTCGGAGTTACAAACAGTGGCACTGAAAAAAAATTGATTCATGACCGTTTTTCTTTGTACATCCCTATGGTCACGTGATCCAAATTCAGACACTTGGCCACTGACTCATCTTTATGACGGTTGCATGCCATGGGGATTCCCCATTTGCAACCTTCTGAGAAACTAAGACAAACGGGGAAGCCCGTTTCATTTTACAGCCGCGTTACTAACTTCATAACTGCAGTGATTCACTTAACAATGGTGGCAAGAAAGATCATAAAACAGGGCAAAGCTCACTCAACAACTGTCTTGCTCAGTGACAGGCATTTGGGGCTCCATTGTGGTCATAAGTTGAGGACCGCCCGTACACCAGCAATTGTTACTTTGTGTGTTGTCCAGATCACTCGCTCTCTCACACACACACACACACATGTAAGTAATTGCGGCTTAGTGGGTTTATCAATATTCCCCCCGAAACTCCCTTCACCCGAAACCCAGAACTGTCCCAACTCAATCCAGCCACAAGCAGATCGAGGGCGGTCCTCAGAGCAATGGCCAGTGGACCCACACAGCACTTAAAAGTTTCCCAATCCAAATAAACCCACCAGGCAGGATTAAATCCAAAATACAATCGGATCCCCGAGGGAAGGAAAAATCCAGAGGTCACGTGGCACCTTCCAAGTTCAAGGCACAGTGTGGCATCCAAAGACAGGTAGGCATCACAACGACCAAAAACTACACAGCTAGGAAATGAACATGTTGTGTCCCAGCATCGCTTCCTACTCTTCTGTTGTGCTAAATGGTCGGCTTCTGATGCAACCCATCAAGAGCGGCGAGGCTGCCTCCACGCGGGTTATCTGGCTCCTCTGCTTCCCGCCTCTTCCCTGCCCTGCCTGTTCTTGGATCAGCTGCAGCAGGCAGCTCCTCCTCCTCACCACTAGCCGGCTGCAGCTGCATGTTTTCTCCACCTACTGTATTTTTCGGACTATAAGATGCACCGGTGTATAAGACGCACCAAGATTTTGAAGAGGTATGTAAGAAAAAAAGATTTTGTCCTCCCTCCCCCCTCCCCAGGAGCACTCTGCAGGCTTCAGAAGGGCCAGGGGTAGGCAAAAACACCCTGTTTTTGCAAAAAACGGGCCGTCTTTGCAAAAAACGGGCCGTTTTTCACCCGTTTTTCACAAAAATGGGATGCGGGGGACAGGGCTTTAGGAGGCCAAGAATGGCTGTATTCGGTGTATAAGATGCACCAACGTTTCCACATTCCTTTAGAGGGGGAAAGGTGCGTCATACTCCGAAAAATACAGTAAGTCTCCGGGTTGCTCTGCTGCAGCTACGTTTGAGCCAAATCCCACTCAGGTGCCCATTTTGAGCCATTCACCAACTTCCTTCCCGGAGTGGTTCATCTTCCTCCAAACTGACCTCTGAAGAGATAATCGGGGAAGCGTCCTGATCCGACGCAGCCTTCGCAAGTACTACTCAACTGCTTACTCATGAAGAACCCCCCCTTTTTTTAATTTAACAAGGCAGAAATAAACTGCGTTCACAGACAAAACTCCAGATAGTAAGTCCTTCGACAAGCAGTAGCAGTCTCTACTCACACCGGCTGAGCTAATTGCAATGCCTCTGAGTTCCCAGCAGGGGAGGCTCAATTAGCACTTCAACCTGCAACGCAGAGAGTCCTCCTCACCCACCTGGGTGTTGACAAAGTAATCCTGGCAAAGTAATCCGATGCAGGGGGATCTCCTGTAGCACAAACGGTTGTCTACAACAACCGGTGCCTCCCACACCCCTCGTCTTTATGTTCCAGCCAGGGAGTAGCTTGTTAATGTCTCCTCCTTTTCCTGTACAGCTGGCCCCCAGCCCTCCTCTCGTCTCTCTGCATATATGCACATCTGGGATAGCCCCCATCTATTACTCCCCCTTGCTCAGCTCAGGCCCCGAAAACAGCTGGGCCCTGCTCTGCATTTGTCTCCGAGTCCTCTTGCTCCACCCATGTTAGCCTTGGCTCCCCCTCCGCCTCCTCTGACTGTGGAGGTGGCCGTCGACGAGCCACAACGCAACCGGGGGAATTATCATATTTCGTGACAATATGTCATAAGTAACTTTCTTCAAGTGTGTTGTAATTTGGAATGGTTGTTAAGCGGTCAGTCATTAAGCGAGGAATTCCTGTAGATGGATGGGCGCTTGTGAGGGGGGGGGCAGGTTTGTTGGGCCAGGCTCCTGACTTTCTAAGTCTCTTTTTCCCAGCTTCGAGCAGTTTTGTATCAACTACTGCAACGAGAAACTTCAGCAGCTCTTCATCGAGTTGATCCTCCAGCAGGAGCAGCAGGAATACCAACGCGAGGGGATCGAGTGGCAACATGTGAGTCCCTTAAACATCAATGCAGCTGCCCCCCCCCCCCCCCCCCCCCGGCCCGGAAAACCCTCCAAAGTTGTCTTCGATCTGAAATTAATTTTTCCCCATAAAACGATTACAGTTGAAACTGGACTGTACGGTTAGTCGTTGACTTATGATCACAAAGTGGGACCGGAATTTCCATCACTAAGCGACCTGGTTGTTAAGTAAATCATGCCTGATTTTACTATTTTTTTTTGCCACGGTTGTTAAGTGAATCACACAATCCTTAAGCAAATCCTGTTGAATCTGGTGGGAAGGTCACAAGGGACGATCTCTTGAATCCAGGACCCTGCAACAGTCCTAAATACATGCCAGTGCCCAAATTTTGATCATGTGATCATGAGGACGCTGCAACCGTCATGAGCGTGTGGAATGACCTGTTCCTTTTCATCAGCATCGTTGTAACTTTGAACCATCATTAAACGAATGGTGGTAGGTCGAAGACTTCTCGTAAGTCCCTTTTCATTAAACGAATGGTTGTAAGTCAAGGACTGGCCACGTCCCCTTTTTCAGCACCGTCGTAACTTTGAATGGTCATTAAATGAAAGGTTGTAAGTCAAGGAGTAGCTGCAGTGGACAAAGCGGTTTTTCAAATTTCACGCTCTCTAGAGAGGTCATTCTCAACCTGAACAACTTTTAAGATTTGTGAAACTCGCCGTGGCTGGAATACTAGGGGAATACTAGGAGTTGTAGTCCACACACCTTAAAGCAGCCAAGTGTTGTTGGTTTTTTTTGGGGGGGGGGAGGAATTTGCTTTAACTCTTCCCTTGCCAAGCATCAACTCTGCCTTCTCTCGACAGATTGAATATTTTGACAATCAAATCATTGTCGATCTGGTGGAAGAGCCGCACAAGGGTATCATCGCCGTCCTGGACGAAGCTTGCTTGACCGTAGGGAAAGTCACTGATGCCCTTTTCTTAGAGAGCATGGACACCCGGCTTGGAAAACACCCCCATTATACCAGCAGGAAGGTAAGAGGATCATAGGAATAATATCCCGTAAGGAACACAATCTGAGGATCCTTTACCGCTCCCGTACGGGATATGGGGGGAAAAAATTGGCGATCACGTAGGGACACTTTTCAGGGATGGGTGGGGTGTGTGTGTGTTTTTTTCTGAATAATCTGGGTGACACTGCAGCAGCACAGGGACTTCTAAAAGTTAAAGAGGGCAACAGTGCAATTCGAACCCAGGGCAGCTATAGGGAGGAAAAGGGGCGGGCAATTGGCGACAGGCAGTCCTCGACTTACGACTGTAGCATGAACCAGATGCTCCATTGCTAAGCAAAGAAGTTTTTTCGGTGAATCGTCCCTGGCTTCCCGAGCTTTTGGGTTTGGTGAATCGCTGCCAAGTGAATCACACCGTTGTTAAGTGGAACCAGCTTCCTCAATTGACTTTGCTTGTCGGGAGTTGGCTGGGAAGGTTGGAAAATGGTGATCACGTGACCCCCGGGATGCTGCAACCATCCTAAATACACACCGGAAACCAAGCGCTGAAATTTGACAACGTGTTTTTGGGGAAATGCCACAATGGACATAAGTGTGAGGACTGGTCATAAGTCATATTTTTCAGTTTCATTGTAATGCTTGGAAAGTCACTAAACGAATGGTCGTAAGTTGATCACAGTATTATAAAGCTTTCAGAAAGCTTTCTTTTAAAATCGGAAATAGAATCGGAATTGAGCTGGAAGGGACCTTGGAGGTCTTCTAGTCCAGCCCCCTGCTCAAGCAGGAGATCCTATACCATTTCAGACAAGTGACTGTCGAGTCTCTTCTTTAGATTTATTTATCTTTCAAACAACATCAGTTTTGTCCTTTATTTTACATATGTTGCCGCTAAATGCACAATTTTTCACATCCAGGGGGAAAAATTTAGAAATTGAGTTGCCTTCTTAAAATAAATTTAATAACAGGATTTTTTATATTTTTATTCGAATATGTAAAGTTTTTTTCTTGGTTTTACTTGAATGAATTTTGAAGAAGAGGCTAGACGACCCCTTGTCTGAAATGGCCAAGGGTCTCCCGCGTGAGCAGGGAGTTAGACTAGATGACCTTCAAGGTCCCTTCCAGCTCACTTCTGATTGATCGACTGAATTTTGCTTCGTAAGGCCAAGTTATAAATTTAAACCGTTACAGCCATTCTTCAACTTACAACCTCAATGAAGCAGATAATCACTGTCGAGGTGGCGCAGTGGTAAGGGTGCAGTACTGCAGGCCACTTCAGCTGACTGCTATCTGCAGTTCAGCGGTTCNAGATAAATAGATGATAGATAGATAGATAGATGATAGATAGATAGATAGATAGATAGATAGATAGATAGATAGATAGATAGATATAGGATATATATGTGTGTGTATGTATCCTATTTAATATTTGTATTTATCTAATCTATAGAGATATACACAGATAAATATGTATATAGATATATAAATATAGACATTTCTATACACATGCGAATAGATCTTACATGTATGTATCTGTGTATACATCTATCACATACACTTTACATCTGTATCTGCACATACAGGGACAGAGAGTGGAGTGTTTTAATGTTGTTCTTTTCCTATTCGTGTACAGGGAACACTTGGCTTCACCAAAGACCATTGGGATGAGAATTTCTGACCCAGCTCATCGGTCGCTAAGGGAGTTGCACCCAATTTTTGCCATGGGTGTTAAGCGAATCATGTGGGCGTACAGCAGATCCGGCTTCCGCTCTTGATGATGGCTACCGGGAAGGTCACAAATGGCAACTGGTGCCATTTTGCCAAATTCCCCCGAATTTGGCTCGCACAACCATGGGGTTGTATGCTGTTGTGCGAGGACTCCTCATGATCCGCTTTGTTTCGATGACGGTTTTAACTTCCAACAGTCGCTAAATGAATGTAAGTCAAAAAATAGCTGTAATTTTTTACGAATTGATTCTTTTCTTGGGGGGGGGGGCTTTGAGAAGGAACGAATTGTGTGACCGTAGGGTGTGCGTTGCAAGCCACAACCCTTTGCAAACCAAATTTGCATTAGTTGTGGGTCGTTCTCTCCCTCTTTCTTGGTTTGTCTCCCTTAATGTTTGGTAAAATAGTATTTTCTAACTTGGGGGCTAGGATTCGCATCTGCGTCGGAAGCCGTCGCAAGTACGCAAACCTTCCAGCGTGGCTGGGTCTCGTCAATGACCCAGATCATTCCTGTTGTGTTTGCAAAAACAACCCCGGGACGGTTTGAGGCCTCTCCCTGCCCTTTTCCAGGGAGAGGTTATAGAAATCCCGGACAAGAGATAATCCTTGCCTTTACGACCACATTCCTGTTGCCAAATGATTTCTCTCCCCCCCTCCCCTTTTGCAACTATCCCTGTTGGCGGTCACTAAGCGAATCCCTGCAGTTGTAAGAATCTAGGCTTCCCCGTTGACTGTCATAATAGGGGGATCAGGTGACCCTGGGGCGCTGTGACTGTCATAAATATGAGTCAGTTGCTGCTAAGGTTGTGTGGAAAAACAGTTGCAAGTCCAGTTTTCCGTTGACATTGCAGCAACTGACTCCTACTTACGATGGTCACTAACCAAGGACTAATGTAATTCAGCCTGGAAATATCTCTTCCTTCTAATTTGAGTCCTCTCTTTTTTGTCTAGGAGAATCTAACCGTCTCTCCTCACCGTGGTGCTTCTCCTGTTGAAGGTGCCTTCGGGATGTGTGGGACACCAATTACCATCATCCCCCGCCCTTCTGGTGCTTACTCAGGTAAGGACTAGTGGGAGTTGGGGGGTTTCAAAAAAAAATAATAAGGATCCCGAATTTTGCTCGCCATCTTAAGATGACCTTTCTTACCAGGTGGTCCTTGTCTTACGACCGACGTGGAGCCTGGAATTAGCATTCTCAAATCTGTCTTGTCTTCCTCTCTTGGGCCCCTCATAGTGGCCGCTTTCGCACAACCCCAGAAGGCGGGTGTGAGTTTGTTCAACTTCTGTCCTCACCACTCCAAATGAAGGCGGAATTGGCTTCCTCCGAAGTTGCTTCTCTTCACTCAAGATGGTTTTGTTCGCAAGTCAGCTTTGAAGATTCGGCTCTGGTAAAACGTGGTTGCTACCTTTCAAAACTATTTACACCCAGACAACACACTGTTTAATTGAAAAATAAAACTTTTGACATGTTGGAAAAAAAATAAAAACTTTATGCAAAAGAAGATTTGGCTCCGTATCTTGCCGTGATTACAGGTCAGCATTTTAATCCGCGTCATCAGACGCTAGAGCAGCGTGTGTCAAACTTGACAGGTGTGTGGACTTCCACTCCCAGAATCCCCCAGTTTGCCTGGTTTAAGAGGGGAGGACTTCAACCAGCCATGCTTCTTTTGGACTAAAGTACACCTTATATAATTTTAATTTTGCTTGAACACGATAAACATGTAAAAAAAAGCAGAGATTTCCGCACCCTTCCAGTGACACAGATGTTTGAACGTGTTTCATGGTAGAAGTGAAACTTATTGCGCCCAAAATAATAATAGGGAAGGAGTTGGTTGGGGAAATCCTCCCCGGTAGAAGTTTTAAAAAGTGATTTTTAAAAAAATATATAGTATCGGTGCATTTTTAAAAGACCAACAGGGTAGGGTAAAAAATTTTGTAATCATAGTTTGTGTTCAATTGTGCTGGAATAATTTGGGGGAAGTGATGAGATTCATTAAGAGTGAAAAGCAGATTGGTGTAGAGGTGAAATGTTGGCTAGAAACCAGGAGACTGGGAGTTATAGTCCCACCTTAGGGATGAAAAAAGCCAGCCTTTGGGGAGGGGGGGGGGCCTTGGGCCAATCACTCTTAGCCCAACCTACCTGGCAGGGTTGTTGTGGGGAAAAGTACACAGGTTTATTCTGTACCTTCATCTTGAGTTAGTTTCCCACGTAGTAAAGGCAGAGTAAAAATTGATACGAATAAACACGGATTTTAAGTTCCTGGTTACTGCCCATCACCCACGGCCTGAAGAGGAAGCGGCTGTGGGTTTCCCACCTGCCTCCCGGCCTCTGTTCTGAATCATTTGCAGCCAGGAGGGGAGGAAGTTTGCGGTCGGCCCACAAAGGAAGGTTTCTCGGAAAAAAGGATGACGGAGACCATGCTTCCCTTCTGCCCCCTGGACAGGAGGAGTTTTTCTGCTGCTTCCAGTGGAGGCTTGTGGGAGGAGACCAAAGTCATCAGAAGTCTCCCTCCCAATGGGATTGGAAGGCACCTTGGAGGTCATCTAGTCCAGCCCCCCCTGCTCAAGCAGGGGACCCTAGACCATTTTCAGGCTGGTCCTGAGCGAAGGGAGAAACGAAAGGGCCTCTTCCAAAATGGGGTGGGGGGATACTCCCCAATTTCTGTCCGTCCTTCAACAGAAAGAGATCCGTTTCTCCTTAAAGGACATTTTCTGAAGAATAAATGAGATCTTTCCTTTCCCATCACCAGCAAAAAAAAAACACCATCTAGTCCTCAGTTTTACGGCCACAATGGAGCCTCAAAATCTCCACTGCTCAATGAGAAATTAGTTAAGTACGTTTCCTGACCCTCCTTGCCACTATCGTTAAGTGAATCCCTGAAGTTCAGCGAGTCACCCGGTTGTTAAGTGAATCGGGCTTCCTGCTCGTCAAGATGGTCACAAAACGGGATCACATGACCCAGGGATGCGGTGGCCGTCATAAATATAAGTCGGCCAAGCCTTTGAATTTGGATTGCATGGGGATGCGGCAACGGTCATAAGAGTGAAAAAACAGTCATAACTCAGTGCCATTGTAACTTTGAATAGTCATTAAAACAAATTATTAGAGAGAGTCCTCAATTTACAACGATTCATTTCTTGGGCCAAATCTGGTGTCCCATCAGTTAAATCTGGATTTTAAATGGACATAATCCTTCACTTAAAAACACAAGATATAAGGGAACTGAAAAAAGGGACTTTTGAGATCATCTACTCCAACCTGCACAAGAAGGAGACCCTTACGGAATAGCAGGGTTGGAAGGGACCTTGGAGGTCATCTAGTCCAATCCCCCATTCAAGTAGAAGACATGGAATCAGTTGGAAGGGACCCTCAGAGGTCATTAATCTTAACTGCTCAAACAAGACTGCAAAAAAAAACAAAAAAAAAAAACGCGGAGGTCATCTAGAAGACCTGGCCAAAATCACAGTTGGAAGGGACCTTGGAGGTCATCTAGTCCAGCCCCCCTGCTCAAGCAGGAGACCCAGAATTGCAGAATAACTGGGTTGGAGCGTCAACTTGAGAGGTCATCTAGTCCAGCCCCCTGCTCAAGCCGGAGACCCTTACGGAATAACGTTGGAAGGGACTATGGAGGTCATCTAGTCCAACCCCCCTGCTCAACCAGGACGCCCTTACGTGATCCTAGAATAACGGGAGATTGGATGGGACTTTGGAGGTCACCTAGTCCAACCCCCTAGAGTACCATTTCACACAAACACCCAATCTCTTTGTAAAAACCTCCAGTGTTTACTGCAACCTGGTTTTCCTGGTCCCCAATTTGAGGATACTTGCTCTCCAGCTGAGCATCTCTGGGGCACTTCTGTCCCATCAAGCCCCCTCCTCCCCCCCCCCAACTCGAAAGCCTCTCCTAACCCACATGCACCAGCTGTGGTTCGAGGGTGGAGTAGCTACTCTTGGGAGCCCGGCTCCTGAGAAGGAAAGAGGAAGTGACGTTTCCCACCGCAAGTCAAACCTCACAAGAGTGTGGCAAAACACTTCCGCAGGAAGAGGTGTAGGGCCCGTGTTCAAGAGGAAGGCTCAGAATAGGCGGGGGTCTTGAAATAAACTGGATAACCCCCTCCCCCCCAAAAAAAATTGTAGCTCAGGTTTGAACTGGGGGAGTTGGGGCTCCCGAGGGCTCTCCGAGTTGGGTAATTTTCTTGCAGACATCTCGTGACCCAACTAGGGAACAGCATCAGTGCTATAAGGCAGTGGTCTCCCACCTTGGCAACGTTAAGACCTGTGGACTTCAACTCCCAGAGTTCCTCAGCCAGCAAAGCTGGCTGAGGAACTCTGGGAGTTGAAGTCCACAGGTCTTAAAGTTGAAAAGGTGGGAGACCACTGCTATAAGGGATTGGACTTTGTAGAGGAAGAAAAGGACTTGATTCCTTCTTGCTCTCTGAATTTAATACTTGAGAACTTCCTGCGTTTCTTAGTTCTGCCTGATGTTCCTTTGCCCTACGGGTTGTGTCTTTGCGTGTGTGCCTTTGGGAGTGTGTAGGAAAAGGTGCAGTTTCCACAGCCACAATTAAGCTGCGCAAGATTGTCCCATACAACAGACGAAGCTGACGGATTAAAATATAGTGGAAACACACCCCACCCCACCCCGGGAATTTGTCCTGCTTTTGGGTACAGCCAAGGAGAGGCTGCTTTTTGTGTGCGACGGAGCAACACCCAAGATCGCACAAATGCAGATTGTGTGGAAGCAGTTGTCAGGGAAGGACGGGGGTAGAAGTGGAGTAGAAGACCTGCCAACAATGGAAAAATTGAAGTTTTGGAGTTGATGTGTTCTGGTAGGATGCCCACTCCTCCTTATACTTCTGTGCTGTAAATGTAGTTGTGGGTTCCTTGTCAAAATGTTGTGCTTCCTCTACCATTGGCTAAGCTGCTCGATCTTGAAGCCACAATGAAGAGAGAACGAAGGAGACATTCCAGGTGGGACCTTTCAATGCCTTGGACTTGACATCCATCGTTCAAAGAGGACGATGATCCACCTTCCAAATTTACCATGAATGAAAACAGACCATCGTTTATGTCTCGAACAAGTCAGAAGCGACTGTCTGAACCACACATCAGTCAGGTTCCTGGCCCTCTTTATAGCTTTGCTGTCTCTGGAGGACATCAGGTTTCTGTGGTGGCCTTCTACGACGTTCTCTAACTTCTCCAGGGTTTAGGGTTTAGGTTCTCTGTGGAGGATTTTGGGCCCATCTTCTTAAGAGGGATCCATCCATCCTGTAAGATCCATTCTCTGGAGGACATTAGATCCTATAAGATCTCTGGAGGGCATTAGATGCTTTATTTCTTGGTCTATCAAGTTATCCAAGTCCTCCATGGAGGACTTAGAGACCTTTTCCCCAGAGGGAATCCATCCATCCTAAAAGATCCAGTTCTTTGAACGATTCCAGATGCCTTCTCTGGTGGTCTCCTAGGAGGTTCTGCAGGGTTTAGGGTTTAAGTTCTCTGTGGAGGATTTCGGGCACCTTCTTCTCCAGAGGAATCCATCCATCCTATAGATCCATTCTCTGGAGGATATTAAATGTCATTCTCTGGTGGTCTCNCCTAACCCTAAACCTAACCCTTACCTTAAGTTGAATCGGCTTGCTTTCAAAGCGCTATTTAAAGCGCCCTTCTTTCTCCGCGCTGGCTGTTGTCGCCCTGTCAGCGACGCAGTTTAATCGGGCACGGCTTAGTCGAGCGCGGTTTTGACGGGTTACGGGCTTTGGGTAACCGAGGCATGTCTCCACCCAAGTCCTCCAGGTGATCTCACCTTCTCCTTCTCTTGCAGTCGCGGGTCCTCCAACAGCAACCAGGTGAGAGGAACTTCCACGCCTTCTACCAGGTGAGTTGGGCTTCCACTGTGGTAGAGGAACCATCAATGTCCTCCTCCTTTCTTTGGTCCTTGGAGGTCACCTGGCCAATCCGTTGAGCGAGAATCTTCTAGATGAGATTCAGATCTTACCAGAGTGACCACCGTGGTCTTCGTTGAGATGTCCAAGGGTTTCCTCAGTTGGAACATGGACTTATACAGGGGTGCGTTCCGGGCGGTGCGTCCCGCTATGGGCGTACCGGTGGCAGCTGGGAACAATGGCCACCGTACCGGAATGGTGCTTTGGAGGGCCCGCCTGCTCTCCCTCTTTCCTTACCTCTATTTGAGCTAACCGGGCCATTTGTGCAACGTGCGAACAGCGTACGGCGCCTGCGCGACCTCTGCCAAACAGCTGGAGTGTTGCAAGGAGGTCGGCGTGCATGCGTGTACAGCGCGCATGTCCATGGTGGACACCCGGCACCGTCACAGCATACTGGTTGCGACCACTGGACTTACCTCTTTGATGGAGTAATTGTCCTTTCGCGAAACTCTCACCTCTTGGGAAGGTTGCGGTGGCCGGACAAGATCCCGTCGTGTGTCCTCTAGATGGGGATCATTCTGGGATCCCAAAATGTTTTCTAGATCTAAGGAGGTGAAGTTGAAAAAAAAACCCCAAGAAAGACATATTGAGATCATTCTAAGTAATTTCCTTGATAGACAGTCCTCAACTTGAGATGACAATTGAGACCAAAATTCCCGTTGCAGACAGTTGTTAAGTGAGTTTCATCACATTTTACGACCTTTCTTGGCCTGCTGGTTAACTGAATTGCTGCAGTTGTTGAGCTTGTAACACGGTTGTTAAATGAATCTGGCTTCCCCTTCGACTTTGCGGATCAGAATGTTGCAAAAGGGGGTCACATGACACTGGGACATTGCAACCGTCATAAGTATGAAACAGTAGCCAATCGTCTTGAGTATTGATCTTGTGACGAGGATGCTGCAAAGGTTGTAAGTGTGAAAAACTTTGGTCACTAAACGAAGGTTGCAAGTCAAAACTACCAGTATTGAAGCTCACCTATAGACAGAATCTTGCCGACTTGCAGCATAAAACATAGAACCTGGGAACCCTTGAGGAGGAGCTGTCTTCATCCTCATTCTCGTACACAAAGCCTTTAAAATGGCTATTTTTTGCTCTTCTGAGATTCAACCCCTCCCTCCCATCCGGAAATTCGATCTGTGTTCCATCAGGGGGGCCAAAGGACTACATTTCCCATCTTCCTTAATTACCTAATGGTTTGATCTATTAATAGATATATAAAAATAATATATAATCTCCCCCGGGAAAATTCTCTTCATGTTGAGCTTTTTGATTGACTTAACAGCCATGTGATTCATTGAACGACTGCAGGGATTTGCTAAATAATGGCAGCAAAGGAGAAGAAAAGGTCACGACCTCAGGTGCAACGCCTTTAACAATCGCCTTGCTTAACGGCGGTCCCAATGGTGATCGTAAATCGAGGTCAACCTGCATTATGGCTTCTTCCAAAGGGCGTAGAATAGTTTAATGACATATTTTTCAACGTTGGTCCCATGAGCACCATACCGGTAGCGACAGGGAGAGGAACCCACCACTGGTGCGCATGGGCGTGCGCGGAAGATGATCTTCCGGTTTCTCGTGCTCCCGCTGCTCTTCCAGTGTTCCGGTGGGCTTCTCGATTGCTCTTCCGGTTTCTGGTGCTTCCAGTGCTTTTGCGTGTGTGAAGACCCGCTGAATCCAGAAGAGCAATGGGGGAAATCTCGTGTGGCTGGAGAGAGGGCTCTGCCTGCCACTTCCAACACAGCTGGTTCCCCATCACAGCTCTATGATAAATGCCAAGTCATCTGCAAATGCGTTGTAAGTCGAGTCATTTTTATTTCCAGTTGCTTCTTGGTGCCTCTGACGCTAAGCTGGAATCTCTACACCTGGTTGGAGACCCAACGGCCTATAGGTTTACCAAGGAAGGCGGTAGTAATAACAGGGTAAGTACCACTCTGTTGAATGTATGGCAAGTCTTTCTGGTGATAAGAAGAAATAGAGAAACGTTGATTGTCCGTAAACAAGTGAGGAAAGTAATCTCAGAAAATTAAGGCTATTGTAAAATGTTACGAAGACGCAGATTAATGTACAGGTAGACTTCTGACCTCAATGGAACCCCAAACATGTATTGCTAATCAAGACAGTTGTTAAGTGAATTCTGCCCCATTTTATGACCTTCTGTGCCACAGTTGTTAAGTGAATCGCTGCCGTTGTTAAGTTAGCAGCACGGTTGTTAAGTGAATATGGCTTCCCCCTGGCTTTGATTGTCAGAAGGTTGCAAAAAGGGATCACTAGACCCCTGGACACTCCGTCTGTCATAAGTACGAGTCAGTTGCCAAACATCTGAATCTTGATCCCGTGACCGTGGGGATGTAGTAATGGTTATAAAGTGTGAAAAATGGTCATGCATCACTTTTTTCAATGGTTGTAACTTTGAAACGGTCATTAAATGAACGGTTGTAAGTCAATGACTGGCCGTAAATACCTCTCAGTTAATCTGCGGAAATCTCAGAAGTTTTGTTTGTATGTTTTTTAATATTTGTACTAAGGCAGCTAGTCCTCAATTTACAATGGCTTGTTTAGTGACTGTTTCAAAGTTAGAACGGCACTGAAAATGTGACTTACAACCATTTTTCACACCTATGACGGTTGCAGCATCCCCGTGGTCATGTAATCAAAATTCGGAGTCCTGGCGACTCACACTTATGACGGTTGCAGCGTCCTGGGGTCACCTGATCTGTTTTTGCGACCTTCTGACAAGCGAGGTCAATGGGGAAGCCGGATTCACTTAACAACCGTGTGAATGTAATGATTCACTTAACGGTGGCAAGAAAAGTCATAGTGGGGCAGAATTCACTTACCAACTGTCTTGCTCAGTCGCAGAAATTTCCTACTCAGTTGTGGTCATAAGCCAAGGACTACCTATACATCAGTTGAGGCAGCCTAAGACTGAATGCACCCCAAATTCATTCATAAGTAGGGGGAAGAAGTGGTGAACATCCAAGCCCCCCCTCCCCCCCGATTAATTCTAGTTCTTATTTTACCTCTTTGGTTGTTTACCCACCCACGCCCTTCTTACCTTCTGCCCTCCCAAGTCTTTGCAGAGTGAGAAAACCAACTATCAATCCGTCCTGGATGCCATGAAAGTGATCGGTTTCACTTCCGAAGAGATTGATTCCGTGCAGAAGATCCTGGCAGCCATTTTACACTTGGTAAACGACACTGATTTGACATTTTATCAACACTGGTTTGACATTTTATCAACACAGATTTGACATTTTATCAACACTGGTTTGACATTTTATCAACACTGGTTTGACATTTTATCGGCCCACCCTTCAAGGGTGGACCCATAAAAAGCAACATCATGTAGATTAGAACATCACTTTCTGGTATTGGGGTTTGATGACCTGATCTTGGAAACTGATAGAGATACTTCCTGTCTCTTTTTATACTGAAGAAAATCAAGATGAGTCAATCTTAAGTCACCCTTTCCTGTCTAGTTGAACTAAACCGATGTGCCCGTCGGAGCCTGAATCGGGGGGTAGGCAGGAAGAAACAGGGGCAGGAGGACCAAGAGAGGCTAAGCTGTGAGCAAGAGAGACAGAGCTCAGGCGAGGAGCAAGGACCACCCCCTCCTGATCCAGGAGCACGGAGAGTGGAGAGAAGGCGAGAACAGCGCAGACTGAGCCAGCTACTCGGGAGTGCCACACAATACTTCGCCAGGCACACCTGGGGACTGAGACTTAATGAGACACTGTGGGGAGGGGCATTTGTTGGAACAAGTGTTGAATCTGTGAAGTCTCGGGTTAAAGCCATAAAGGGAAGTTAGACCTGGCTGTGTGACGCCCCGGGTCATCACACAGTGGTTACAGAACGATTGAAAAGTTTCTTCCGTCACGAAGGGTACAATTAGAAGATAACTTTCTCGCAATAAGATACGATCTTGAAAGTGAATAAAGTTAGTTTCCTGTCTCCTGTTACACTCGAGAGAATCAAGGCGGATCGATCTCAAGTTTCTTTCTCACCTTTTCCTGTCTACTCCAATCCTTACGGAATGGTTGAAAAGTTCCTTCCATCACGAAGAGTACGATTAAAACATAACTTTCTCGTAATAAAATACGATCTTATTGACCGCTGATAGAGATACTTCCCATCTCCTGTTACACTCGAGAGAATCAAGGAGGATTGATCTTGAGTTTCTTCCTCACCCTTTCCTGCCTAGTTGAGCTAGCCCAGTGCTTGCAGAACATTGGTTAAGTTAATCCCTGCGATTGTTAAATTAGCAACATGGTTGTTAAGAACTTGGCTTCCCCATTGATTTTGCTGGTCACAAAAGGGAAAATCACGTAACCCTGGGACCCTGCAGCCGTCATTAATGTGAGACAGTTGTCAAGCGACTGAGTGTACATCATGTCATCGTGGGGAATGCTGCAACGATCTTAAGTGTGGGGAAAAAGTTCCTAATACCCTTTTTTCCAGTGCTGTTGTAACTTCGGACGGTCACTCAGTGAACTGTTATAAGTCGAGGACTTATAAGTGTGTGTGTTGGCAAGAGCTGAGGTGGTGCAGTGGTTAGAGTGCAGTACTGCAGCCACTTCAGCTGACTGTTATCTGCAGTTCGGCGGTTCAAATCTTACCGGCTCAAGGTTGACTCAGCCTTCCATCCTTCCGAGGTGGGTAAAATGAGGACCCGGATTGTTGTTGGGGGCGATATGCTGACTCTGTAAACCNCCCCCAATCAGCTATGCTTTAAGAGGGGAGGACTTCCACTCCCAGAATCCCCCCAATCAGCTATGCTTTAAGATCCCTGGACTTCATGCAGGCAGGGGAATCCTGGGAGTTGAAGTCCTCCCCTCTTAAAATCGCTGTCTTTGAGAAACACAGCTCTATGGCAACAAAACCAGCATTGGGCAAGCCCCCTTTTCCAACTAAACTGGGTTTCTTCCGAGCCAGAAAGCCTTGTGAAGTCACCTCCTTAGACGGAACGAGTGACGGCTCATATCGGATCACGTTGGAGGAAGCAGAAGGCCAAGACGGAATCAAAATGACTCAAGTCGGAGCTAATTTTGAAATCAGGAAACGCGCCACTCGCACTCGGAGCCTGGCTGCCTTTACTTCTCGTTTCCATGTTTATTTTTTTCATTTTCATTTCTTTGTTCCCCTTGCATTTAAAAAAAAAGAAAAAAGCATCTCCCCAGTACCGGTACGGCAAGTCCTCGACTTACGGTGCTTCGCTTAATGACTGTTCCAAGTTACGACGGCACTGAAAAATTAGCGTTTTTCGCACTTACGACCGTCACGGTCACGGGATCAAAATGCAGACACTCCAGAAGTGGGTTGCTCCTGGTTTGGGCCAGATTGGACGAACCGGTAGTAGCGGTGGGGGAGGGCTCCGCCCACCCGCCCGGACGCTTCTGCGCATGTGAGCAAACCAGTAGTAAAACAATTGGAAACCCACCACTGAGGCACTCTGCAACTGACTCGTATTTATGACGGTTGCAACGTCCCAGTGTTACGTGATCCCTTTTTGCAACCTTCTGAAAATCATGGTTCACTTAACAACCAATTTACTAGCTTATCAACTGCCGGGATTCACTTAACAAAGATGGCGAGGAAGGTCGTACAATGAGGCAAACCTCATTTAACTAAGGTCTCATTTAACGACTGAAATTTGGGGCTCATTCGTGGTCGTAAATCAAAGATTTCCTGTGGTCCTCACTGAACGTCCAGAATTAAGGCCCAAATTTCTATCACTAAGCAAAAAAGAAGTCCGAAGTGAATTTTGCCCTGTTTTATGACCTTTCTGCCCGCCGTTATTAAGCAAGTGGTTGAGCGGGTGGATAGATACGTATTAACTCTGTATAAATAGTCCTCAACTTACAACAGTAAATTTCAGAGTCCGGCCTTTGCATTGCCAAGTCAGACAAGTTATTAAGTGAGTTTTGACTCAATTTACGGCCTTTCCTGCCACCGTTCTTAAGTGAATCCCTGCAGCGGTTACGCTCATCCCATGGTCGTTATGTGAACCTGGCTTCTCCGCTGACATTGCTTGTCGGAAGGGGATCACGTGACCCCCGGGGACGTCATTCGCCGAGCTGAATTTTTAAATGCGTACATTTACGGGTGGAAAAGTCCACCTTTTCACCAAGCCCCCGAAAGGAAAAAGAAGAAGCAATGGATGGAAACTCATCCAGGAGAGAAGCAACCTAGAAGGAAGGAGGGATTTCCTCACGATGAGGACAATTAACCCATGGAACTCCCTGCCACCAGAAGTTGTGGTTTATCCCTTACCGCGGATAGAGTGAACGGCCAATTGGTCCAGCACGAAACAACACAACCACCAAAAGATTGCCTCCCGATTCTAGGCACGTGGAGTTGTCCTCGCCGTGATCCCACCACAAATGTGGTCAACCTGTAAGCCTCTGAGATGCCTCCTTAACTGTGTTCTCCACCTTTGGCCAAACCAGGTTTGAGAAGGGACGCATCTACACCTACATCGGGGAAGTTGTGGTCTCCGTCAACCCATACAAACCTCTGTCGCTCTACGGGAAGGAGGCGATCGAGCACTACCGGGGCCGGGAACTGTACGAGAGGCCGCCTCACCTCTACGCCGTGGCCGACGCAGCCTACAAGGCCATGAAGAGACGGGCCATGGACACCTGTGTGGTCATCTCAGGTAAGGGTCTCACATCTCTCTTTCTCCACCCAGAAAAGGGTTACCCAGTCATCACCAACCATCTTGACCCGTCAAGTTGGAGGTTGGTTTGGCGTAGATTACGGAGGTATGTTCAACTCAGAATAGGAACCTCTGAGGTCTCTTCTAGTCCAACCCCGTGCTCAAGCAAGAGACCCTTACAGAATAATAAGAATTAGAAGGGACTTCAGAGGTCATCTAGCCCAGCCCCCTTGCTTAAGCCAGAGACCCTTACAGACTAACAAGACTTATTATTCTGTTACTCTGTGATTCTCTTAAGGGTCTCCTGTTTGAGCAGGAGACCCTTGGATCAGATGATCTCCAAGGTCCCCTCCAGTTCTATTCTAATTGAATGTTTGAATGCTCTGCAAGCCCCTTAGGTTAAGACTCAGTGGGGCATTGACCCATCTAGAGGGCATCCAAACGGACCAGGTAGAAGGAGCAGGAAGGAGGTGGGCCGATTTAATCTCCAGGATCAACTCAAAGAAGGTTTAGCTACTTCATTGAATCGATCCAGCATCTTATATAAGCCGCATGCTCTTATTGCTGAGAATAGAATAGAGCTGGAAGGGGACCTTGGAGGTCATCTAGTCCAACCCCCACTGCTCGAGCAGGAGATCCTATTGCCATTTCGAACAAGTGACTGTTCAGTCTCTCATTCAATCAATCAATCAATCAATTAAATTAATAACCATTAACTTAATGGTTAAGCTCATCTCCGAATCTTTGTGTGCTCTCCGAGTGGGGGGGGGAGGGGTTTCTTGCAGACGTCTAATGACCCAAATAGGGAATGTCATCAGGGCTAGAAGGGGAGGTGGAGGAGGTGGAGAAGAAAGACTGTTTTCTGAGTTTGTTGGTAATTAGATAAAGAGATGTCTGCAAGAAAACTACCCAGCTCAGAGAGCACCAAGGACCCCAAAGTCCTCCTCCTCCATCTCCTCTTCCTCCTCCTCCCTTCTAGCCCTGATGATGTTCCCTAGTTGGGTCATGAAACGTCTGCAACAAAATAGCCCAACTCAGAGAGCACAAAGGCCTCCGCAGTCTTCCTCCTCCTCCTCCTCCTCCTCCTCCTCCTCCCCTCCTCCGTCACATCAAGACCACAGAGGGGGAGCCGAAATAGACACACCTACACCAGTACACACACACCAACACACCCCACCCTCCATCCCACTGAGATCCAGCCATTGTCAAACCAAGATCCACTTATTATGCTGGTCTCTTTTAGGAGAAAGCGGAGCTGGAAAAACCGAAGCTAGCAAGTACATCATGCAATATATCGCCGCCATCACCAATCCGAGCCAGAGGGCTGAAGTGGAAAGGTAAGTTGAGTGCAGGCAGTCCTCAACTTACGCCCCTTCGTTTAGCGACCGTCCGAAGTTACAGTGGCCCTGAAAACAGGGACCTTTACGACTGCCGCAGTGCCNGTATTTGACATCTGACAGATCTTTTCGTCTGCTGAATTCCCAGGGCAACGTGAATTTCATCTGCTCTGGCGACGAGGTGGCCGTCGAAGACCCACAACTGGTCTCCTACCTTGCGGAGTTGACTTCCACCGAGCCAGAGAGCCTCCTGAGCACCCTCCTGTATCGGACGGTGGCTGCGGGCGGCGGGGAGGTGATCCGAAAAGGCCACGGTTGCGACGAAGCGAACTACGCGCGGGATGCTTGTGCCAAGGTAACAGCAGAGTTCGGCTGGACACGAGGCATTCCGTGGTCTGAGGGGGCTTCAGCAGGGGTGGGCTCTAGCCAGTGTTACTGCCGGTTCGCTCGCGGTTGCGCTTCACACACACAAGCATGTGCTGGATGCACCTTGCGCGCACTTGCACAGTTTAATAGAAATTGTTTTGCACATGCGCAGAGCTCAAAAACGAGATGACGATGGTGACTGGGGAACCGGTTCAGGGGCATGGCCAGCCTGGATCGCTACCAATTCTATGACTCAGGCCGGCATGCCAATTACCTGTTCTGCCGAACTGGGATGAACTGGTAGGAACTCCCACTGGGCTTTGCGTGATATTGACGTGGTTACTCAGCTGTCCACTTGGGGTGTCATTCAGGAACTTACAGAGGAAAGGAAAGGCCGGTATAGGGGACTCAAGAATAGGCAGATATTTGGTTTCGGTTTTGTTTTCAATTTTTTTCATTTCAATTTTCATTTCATTTTAATTTAATTTTATATTACTTTATTTATCTTAATTTCCTTTATTTTACTTTAGTATTTTATTTATTTTAACCTTGTCTTCATTTTGTTTCAATGATCTTCATTTAGTATTTTTTTAAAATCATCTTAAAGGTAAAGGTTCCCCTCGCACACTTGTGCTGGTCATTCTCAACTCTAGGGGGCGGTGCTCATCTCTGTTTCAAAGCTGAAGAGCCATATTTTACTTTATTTAGTTATTTTATTATCATCTTGTTTTAATTTTACTTTATTTTAGCCAACCCTATTATTTTTATTTTGCTTTATTTTTATTTTATTTACTTTATTATTATTTGTATCCCACCTTTATCATTTTTATAAATTATTCGAGGTGGCAAACATACCTAATATTCCTTCTTCCTCTTATTTTCTCCACAACAACCACCCTGTGAGGTTGCTGGGGTTTAGAGAGAGAGAGAGAGAGACGGTCCAATTGGCTCTCGTGTCGAAAGCAGACTAGAACTCACCATCTCCTAATGATTGGCCCAAAGTCACCCAATTCCTAACGTGGTACTAGAACTCGCCATCTCCTGGTGATTGGCCCAAAGTCACCCAATTCCTAACGTGGTACTAGAACTCGCCATCTCCTGGTGATTGGCCCAAAGTCACCCAATTCCTAACGTGGTACTAGAACTCGCCATCTCCTGGTGATTGGCCCAAAGTCACCCAATTCCTAACGTGGTACTAGAACTCGCCATCTCCTGGTGATTGGCCCAAAGTCACCCAATTCCTAACGTGGTACTAGAACTCACCATCTCCTGGTGATTGGCCCAAAGTCACCCAATTCCTAACGTGGTACTAGAACTCACCATCTCCTGGTGATTGGCCCAAAGTCACCCAATTCCTAACGTGGTACTAGANGGCAGGAGGCTCCACCCACCCACCCAGACACCTCTGTGCATGTGCAGAAGCATTGCACATGCACACATGAGTGAACCAGTAGTAAAATAAATTGAAACCCACCATGTATAAAATTATATGTAGACACAGTGAATGAATGCACACACCCACATTCCCACAAAGCTAAGACATCACAATGGACATATATGCAGGAATAAAAGTCAGCTTTAAAATTAAAATCTCCTTTTTTCTTTTTCTCTTTGTCCTCAGAAAGATCTAATACAGGTCTTTCTTAGTAGCCCAGTAGGGGAACCATGCCTGGTTAAAAACTTATGAATTACTTTTTAGTCACCATTTTTACTTTTCTCCCAGGCTTCCAGTCAGTCGAAAAACAATGAAAACATGCATTCATGGACTTCGTTTTTTTTTAAAAAAAAAATACTGGCTGATTTGCCATCATCAAGACAAATGAGCTTCAAAGCAAATCAAACCATAAGTTCTTTGTATCAAAGAATTCTACAGGAGAATATCAAGCCATCTGTCTATCAGCTGAAGCTCTTGCAAAACATGCCGCGAAACAATGAGTCCCAATATTCAAGCAAGTTTGTAAAGGATTATTATGCAATGGACAAATCAAAGTCCAGAACTAAACCCCACAGAAATGTAGAGAAACATTCGGAAATAAACATGGTACAACCAGTTATTAAATTCAAGGGGGCAGGAAATCTGAAAAGGGACAAATTCTTTTTTTCACAGGACTATAAAATGTTCTGTCTTTTGGAGTCTTCCTCTGACTCAAGTTCCGCTTTCTGTTTTGCCAAAGGATGGCTCCCTATAAAAAAAAATAAAACAGAGAGAAATAAAACCTGAAGTATTTTGTCAAGGTCATACCTTCTTGAATTTTGACAAGGAATTGAAAGCATCTATTCTGATGTAAAGTAGGATCTTTCTTTGTGTCTCGTAAATCACTATTTTCTTGGCAAAGCTTTCTTTTATTTTGATCTTCTTTTGTTGCTTTCATCTCCCTACCCCCTTTGTAGGTCAAGGCAGGCAAGTCAAACTAAATTAGGAAGCTCTGGAATATTGCAGACAAATGCTAAATGCAAGAGTGAGGGAAGTGCCTATGGAAAGAGGTCCAAGAAAGTTAGTTTAGAAAATGGGAGATGGAATTTGTTAGCATAAGAAAGTATATATATATATTCGAATCAGAGTGAGGATATCATAATTACTGCACATTTCACCAAACCGCTGCCTTCAAAGCCAGAAATTCCAGACTTGCTAGTTATAAACTTGTCAAGAAGTGTTAACTCTTTCAGTATGCCTTGAATAATTTTGAACTGAAAGCTGTTTTGATTTTGAATTTTTCCCCTCCCACACTTTGGTCTCAACAACAACAATGAAAAAATCCTCATTCCAGGTAATTACTACCCTTCATTTCCCAGACTTACAGCTCCATAAGATGAGCTATTGTACTAAATAATTAGCACATGCCATTCAGAATATTATAAGAATTATATGCAACATCAAGCAGGAACTATACACTGACACATGGCCGTATTTTATGTGAAATGTGCTAAACAGAAATTAAATGCTAGCAACAGGTACATCCTAAGCAAGTTATTAATTGTGAGTAAAGTGCTGAGGGAGGGGTGCAAACAGCAATATTTAACTATAAAAATAAGAAAACATTTTAAAAGACCCTTTTGCTTTAAACCATGACCTTCTCACAAACATGCATACAAATCTATGCATCTAAAGCTTGATTGCCAAATAGTGTTTGCAGTAAATGCATATGACTTATTAAGCAATTGCTGCAATTACTTTTCTGAAAACAAAGGAGAAAATCTACATTTAAGGAGCAAGATTTGAAAGGACTTGTTGAACAGTAAACTTCTGAAAAGAAACAAGAAAGCCTTTTCATCTGTCAGAAATGCAGATTTTATCAAGCATCCCGTCAGACAGAGTAGAATCTATTTGCACAGGGGAGGGAGATGCATTCTTCTTTTGGCTTTATTCTGTGGTCTGCTACAGAATCTCTGTGTAGGATTTGTATGGATCACAAATGTTTGGAAGTTATAGGGATGTTCACTGAAAGATTGGGCAGATTTGTCCATGAACTATCTTCAGAGTAATCACTCAGTAAAAACTTTTTAAAAAAGAACAAAGCATGCTAAAAGTTATTCACATAACTTTATTAATCAGTTTACTGTATATCTATTCATAAGTGAGACCAATGATTTAAATAGAAAGAAAGCAATGTTATTGTAGTCTGGTATTCAGTTGGTAAGTAAATTTTGTGTGGGTTTCTCAACTTCTTGTCCCCAAACCATTACTGTCCATTACTTTCTAAACTCCATACTTTTAACTCAATTGACTGTATGGGTAGCTTTGATCATACTCTCTGCTTAGCAGTATAATTAGCAATTCTTGTTCTAAGTTTACCTTCATTCAGAGCAATTTTTCATACAATTTACTATATTCCTCTCTATATTTTTGCAATAATACCTATATTTATTATGGCCACTGCACTGCAAAGTTTGCTGCTTAAGGTCCCTTTTCCGCATGGTATAGATGTGGACTCATTCCTATAGCTGTCATATACTGCTCAGGATAGGCACAAAGCTCAGAGGGCTCACCACTGTTTTCTGGTTCCACCACAAAATCGCGCTCGACTAAACTGCGCCCGACTAAACCGCGTCGCTGACATCATCAACAGGGCAACAACAGCGCGGAGACAGAAGCACGCTGTAAACCCTAAACCTAAAATTAATCCCTAAACCTAAACGTAACCCCCCCTAAACCTAACCCTAAACCTAACCCTTAACCTAACCCTTAACCTAACCCTAAACCATAACCCTTAACCTAAACCTAACCCTAAACCAGGGCTGGGTTTCAACCGGTTCGCACCGGTNCCCCAAAATCTAAGCCTTCCCCCATATAACTGCATGGATAGCATCTTTCCATTGTTATCTTTGGATTTATCAATCCCATGCTAATAATAAACATGAAGCTGAGAATGTTCACTTTTACATTCTTTCCTACCTTAAGGATTTTCTTGAACAAAGTTAGGTATGATTTTAAGAGGATTCTTAGCAACAACATTACACTATAATTTCTTTAGTTTGACCGAGGCTCTCCCTCAGTTGTCAGATTTTATATGTTATCGATAAACTCCCTTTTTTATGACTCCGTAATCCCTTAATTTGGGGTAGAGTCTAGATGGAGCTAAGCATTTACTAGCTGGATGCCCTTCCCGACACCTACGTGGGGTTCACAGCAGATATTTTCTCTTTGAGCCCTAGGAGAAAAATATCGGCTCATCCTAGGATTGAACTCTCAACCTTTTCAGTGGGAGGCAAGCGTCTTCAACACTAGGCCGCTGCCCCGTTCATCTATATGTTATCAATGCCTGCCTTTATTTAAATATAAATATTCTGAATGAATAAACACTTCTCTCCTTGGCTTAGGACGCTATGCTCTGAGGTCAGTTTTCAAACGGTACATATTTCACAGCTTCTGATTTGTTACCGAAGATCTACTGTCCTTCTTGCTTAATCCTCCTAGGATTTCTTTGATCTATTCAAGAATAGACTTTAATAGGACAGATTTTAACGATCTACGTTCCCGAAATCAATGCAAAAAAAAAGGTTAACTAATTCACCAAGGGGGACGTCCTTTTATGACCAAGCACTTTCAAGTTTCGAAAACTGCAGCGCAGCCACGTAGCTCCATAAAACCCAAAGTCGTTTTGACATCAAGACTTCTTACGGCCTTTGACGGCAGCTCGGGGATGGAAGAAAACAGCTTCAGTATTCTTGGATAAATAAATAACTCCTTTCCATACCAATTATTTTTTTTTAACGAAATGTTTAACCGCCATTTGCAATCTTTTATCTTTTGGGCCGCTCTCGCGTCGCCAAGACGCCCTGCCACGAAAAGCCCAGAAGAAACCCTCTACTGCCGGGAATGTCCCAGGTCAAATGTTTTTTTTGGGGGTAACCTCTGAAGTCAACAAAGAAAGTGAAAAAAATCGCTTGAACTGGCAACTCAACTTCGATTGCATTATCCAGACCGCCACCAGAGGGCAGTAAGGGAAAGGTGAAGTCCCTTTGCTGACTCACAGCGGTCCCGGGGATTTTAACATCCCTTTTTCTTGAATCGTTTGGAGAGGTCGCAAAGATAAGACATCCGAGTCAAAAATCACCCAGCTTTGCAACCGGCTGAAAGATTGTGCAATGCAGCTTCTCTGCCCCGCATAGGACGCAAATCCGGAGGTGGGAGGAAAAGCCCATTCAATGAAGCTCCGCCTCAACCCGCCCCCCCCCTCAATCTTAGGAGTAATTACCACCGTCCCCGCAAACTACTAGTAATGAATGGGTGGGTTTCTAGCCCTTGTTGCGTCTTCGTTGCCAAGTTCCAAATTCCTAGATTGTTGCCTGCTCCCCCCCTTTTAATTGAAGCATCTTAGTGCACCCCCATCTTTTTTTGGGGGGGGTTGTCAGTTCCCCCTCTCCCCCTGCAAAGGCAGGAATCCCGCAGGACACCCCACCCCCCCATTTTCGGATGCAGCGTCTCCTCGGTGCCCAAGTCAAGCGCCTCGAACCAACCTACAGATTTCCTGGCTTGGCATTCCCCCAAAGATGCTTTCCCAGCCCCCGCCCCCACCCGCGGCAGGCGCACACTCCAGCAAAACGCCCCCCTCCCCAAATAAAAAAGTTCAGCGGAGTTTTTTTTTAAATCCCCCAACCAGCAACACCCCCCCCCCACAAAAAAAATATCCAAGAGAGAAAAAATAAAAACTCTGCGCAGCAAAAACAGAGCGCTCTGCACGCGCTCAGAGAAAAGGGCCCGAAGTAGTGACANGAAGAGCCAGCGCTGTCCAAAGACGTCTCCGTGGTCATGTGGCCGGCATGACTCAACACCGAAGGCACACGGAATGCTGTTCCCTTCCCAACAAAGGGGGTCCCTATTTTTCTACTTGCATTTTTTTACGTGCTTTCGAACTGCTAGGTTGGCAGAAGCTGGGACAAGTCACGGGAGCTCACTCCATTATGCGGCACTAGGGATTCGAACTGATGAACTGCTGATCTTCTGATTGACAAGCTCAACATCTTCGCCACAGAGCCACTGCTCAGTGTATAATATTTGATATATTAATGTAGTAATATGAATAGTATAATATTTTATACTAGAGTTTATTTTAGTTTGATTTTGTTTTATTTATTCAAACCAACTCCAGATGAGTTTCAGATTTGTGATACATGAATGATTAAAAAACAAACAAACCCAGAAGCAGACAAGAAAATTATAGATTTATTTGTGGCCTGTTTATTTGT